AATGAAGGCTAACTGAGTTAACCACTTTAAAGATTTTGTTAGAGCACATCTTTTATTTGGATCTAACCTTGTTCAATTTAGAGATCTCTCACTTTACATTCATTCGTTTAAAGATGCCAACTCGATAAACCTAGAATTACCCCCAAAAAAAGATGAATAATGACACACAACATATAGTTTGCCTTTTATTTTAAATGGTAAGTTTTTGAATATGAACCAGACTACATGTCTTCTAGGTTAACCACCAATAAATTATGATTTTTAATTTAGAATTTAGCTAAAATTCAATTTAGTCTCTAAACTCTCAAATATTCTTGATTATATCCTTAATTACCCTTTAACTTTCAATTTTGTGTAATTTTTTCTTTGCAAAATTCAATTACTAACCCTAGAGTTCAGTTCCCTTTTCATTTTAGTCATTAATTTTTTATTAATGGAAATTAACCTTTAATTGAACATTTATCTTTTATTTTTTTAATTTAGCCCTTGATTTTGCTGATTTCAATCCCTGAAGTTGCACACTTTTTTTGGTTTAGTCTCTGGTTTTGAATTTCTCAAATCAAGTCTCTAATTGCCTATCAAACTTTAATATTTATGTAATTAAGCCCTTGATTTGATAAAATTAGCTTTTTAAAATTACAATTCAACCCTTAAACTTTAATTTCTTTCAATTAAAACCAAAATTGAATTCAAAAATTAATTTTCTTGTAATTATGCCCTCAATGAATACAATTGAACCCTGAAAAAATTGAGTCCTTAAACATTTAATTTTAAATTTCCTTCCCAAATTCAATTTTCTAATTCAAGAGGCTTTCATCGATTTATATTGAATTGTTAATTTTTCAAACCTTGTATTTTTTGGTCATCCTTAACCAAATTTTGGCAATCTTCTAGATGTTCTTCATGTTCTCTTCATTAATATATTTGTTTTTAAAATTTTTTAATTTTTTTTTAAAAATTCATTCCTTTTTTTTATTGTTTCCCTTTTTTGTGTATTTATATGGAGCTTCGAAATGGATAACATCAATTTTGATGTGTTGGAGTAAAAAAAAATCTTATTGATGCATTTTCAACTAAAAAAAAATTAAATTAAAACACAACCTGCACCATAATACCAAACACATACAAAACCCAAAGGCCTTGTTGATGAGGAAATATGGTCTTTTCCATATGGCATATTAGTCATTATCAAAATGATTGGGACAAATCAGTATTTGTATTTTTTTTCAACCCATTAACATTATTTAACTACCCTAAAAGGAAAAAAAAATATTAAAAATGCATCCATAAGCTTCCTCATCTCTTCCTTTTATAAGCATAATGAAATGACAGAATAACCCTTACAATAAAATATCATTAAGCTATCATGCAATGACTCCTTTTGTATTTCTACTTTTTTTTTTATATAATCAAGTTGAAAGAGGGGCACTTTAATAATTTAATAAATAAAAAATATTATTTTAAAAAAAGTGACTAACACGTGCATGTGTTATCATATAAGAGACACTCGTACCATTCAGGTGACGTTTGAATCATCTTGAAGGCTTCTCTATCCCTAAAAAGCATGTATTGTCAACAATTCTCAGGCTTGGTGCCAATGACCTTTTTTTTTTCTTTTACCTCTACTAGATTTTTATGCATGCTCCTCTAGTTTTCAAAATAGTTGTTCAATTTGTTTTTTCTTTTAAGTTTGTTCCATGTTTCTTTTTATTACTATTTTTCATTTGAAATAATTTAAACAATTATAATTGTTTGTAAATTTCATCATCCATTAATTTTTGCATCTATCATATTTGGTACTCATTTTTTATCACTATTTTTGGTTTTTTTAATCATTTTCTTAATTTATTTTATTTCTTAATTTTATCCCTCGTTATTTTATTTTATTTAATATTTATAATAGATTTGATCCTTATTTTTTAATATTTATAATAGATTTGATCCTTATTATTTTTATTTTTTTATTGATTTGTTTTCAATTTTGTACCTCATTGTTTTATATTATTTAGCTTTTATAGCATATTTGAGCCTTATTTTTTTTATTACCATTTGTTTTATTTTTTATGTTTGAGATTTTTGCTTTGTGATTTTTCCACGTTGACCTTCTATAAGGTAACCTAGTCTCATGACTCAAGTCACAAGTTTTAAAAATTAGCTTGATTTGACTCAGGTCTTTTTTATGTTTTTTGTTTTCAAATTGATATTTTTTAATATCATCATTTAACATTAGATTATTAAGCCTTTAATTTTGTGATTTTTGTTGTTTTTTATGAGGTTATCTTAATCTCATATTTTGGGTCACATGTTAGTTAAGTTAATCTAGGTTGACTTAAGTTTTTTTACAGTATTTTTCTTAATCAATTTTTTTTCAGTTTTACCTTTTATTATTTAATTTGCTTGAATGTTAACCTCTATTATTTTATTTGGTCTTTTTTGTATAGGGTTATCCCGGTCTCACAATCAGGTTGCAAATTTAATATACTGACCCGAGTCAAGTTTTTTTTTAATTATTCAATTCATATTCAATTTGCTGGTAATTGAACTTTATATATTTTCATTTTTTTTATAAGTGTATTCATTCCCCATTTAATTTTTTCTTTGTATCAAATAAAATTATTGAGATCTTTTAAAAATATTTAGATGATATATTTTTATAATATTATCAAGTGTTTATTTTTTTATTAGTCATTATTGTATTTTTAGTTTTTTTTATTATTGTTATCTTTTTTATTTTAAAAATTATATTATTAAATTAACTAAATATATTAGACATCTTTGAATCTTGCTCATATGAAAACACTATTGGCATGAATATTCTTTTATTTTACCTTAAAAAGATTTTTCTCGGCTTACGTGGCAGCACAAGCCATCCATCTAAGTAAAAACATAAAATTTGGTTACGAATCTAGGTGATAACATTATCTTCTCACTTGCATCTAAGTAAAAACATAAAATTTGGTTATGAATCATACGAATCCATGTGATAACATTATCTTCTCGCTGGTTATAACATGTATTTATGGTTTGTGTGTTTTGTATATTGCAATTTGCATACTTGACCTCCAATAATTAAAGAAATGTGTTTCCCCATTTGAAGGTCTCATTTGTCTTGATAGCATAGCTGTATTTTTTAAAAACGTTTAAGTTTTTTTTTGTTTTAAATTATTTTTTGGTGTTTTTAGATTGTTTTAATATATCGATATAAAAAATAAATTTTAAAAAATAAAAAATATTATTTTGATTTATTTTCAAGCAAAAAAACATTTTAAAAAACAATCGCTACCATAATACCAAACATTATTACATCAATCTTTTCGTCGTGTCACTAGAGCATGTTTGCCATTGTAGTAACATTTATTTTTTAAAATATTTTTTACTTGGAAATACATCAAAATATTTGTTTTCAAAATTCAATTTTGATACCAGTGAATGTTGTCAATTCCATTTCGATAGGTGTTTTATTTTTTCAATTGGAATGTAATGTTTCGGTTTTGGAGTATTTTGGCGCACTGTATTGGGGTTGTACTGTCTATATATATATATATATATATAATTCAACAGACATAATTCAAATTCAAGATAAATTATGCAATACAAAAATAATTTCAAACAAATATAATTTTAAATTTTAAAATATTTCTAAATAGTCAAGATTAAATAAAACTTTAATTTAAAGTAATTCAACTTAAACAAAATATCAAAATATTATGGAAGTAAAATGTTTTAACATAAAAAAACATAAATCAAACATCATCTCCATCATTAACATAGAAATAAGGATCTTGATCTTGTGGTGGTATGTAGAAAAAATCACCAACTAAATATTCCAAAGTTGATCATTTTCAATAAGTTCATTCTCATCATCAAAACGTATCTCTTCATCCTTTAAAATCAAAGTAAACAACGATGCTTAAATAGTTTCCTTACCTCTCAAACAAGAAGGTTAGGTTCTTCACAAATTCATTCATATAATAGGTCAATATTATCAAGACTAATGAGATTTAAAGGATTTTTTATTTTGTCAAATTCCTACAAAGTATAAACATTAAAAAAACAAAATGAATATAAAACCATATATATTAGTGATAAATCTAATTTTAGAAAATTAATATCTTTGTAATGAAAATAGTAATAATCATTTTCAATATTATTACTAACATCATTGTTATTGAAAATAATAATGAAAAAAAAAGCTTTGTATATATGGGTGATTTAGTTACTTAAATTGAACCGGATTTAATTTGATTCAATAACTTTTCATGCTCGGAATAGAACATGTGAAATGAAACCAAAATATTCTGATCAAAATTTATCCCAAAAATCCAAAATGGACCGAGACTTGAAATGAGATGAAAATTGTTCCGTTTTATTTTTATTTTTTGAATCGATATGAAATATTTCAGTTATTTTTAACCAAACAGAACAAAATTGACAATATTGATACCAACAAATCAAAATAATTTAAAAATACATATATAAAAAATAATTTGTAGCAAAAAAATTAATTTTTTACAAATATATTTTCCAATCACAAAACTAAATAAAACCTTAGGTTTGGCTTAAGATACCATTTGCAGGTCATTCCAATCACAAAACTAAATAAAACCTTATTAGGTTTGACTTAAGATACCATTTGCAGGTTAACCAATTAAATTAGGACAAATTCAAAATAACATTTTTTATAAAGAAATAAAAATAAAAATAATATCATTATAAATAAAAATTTAAAAAATTTCTTAGAATTAATTGCCCAATCAAATAAGTCATGAATTGTTTTACCGGTCAATCGAGTTTGATTGAATTGACATCCAGCCCCACTAAAAAAAACCCGATACTGTTTAAGCCAATCATTAAGCCGAGTTTAATTAATATAATATTATAGAGAAATCTGTTATTTTGACACAGGCTAGTAGTACTCATGTTTTATTATATCTTCTATCCGTTTTGTCGGGGGGAAAAGATGAAGTTGGTAAGGGAGCCACCGAACCTAACCATTGTCTAGCACGTGACGGCACCAACATTTCTGCTTACCTTCCCTTGGAAAGGCAAAGTCACTGTCCACAACCCGCCCCCAACCTCCCCTCCACATTTTAAATTTTGACACGCCCCGAAGCCGTTACATCACTCTCTAGGCTCCTCCTTAACTCCACCTCTAGGGTTTCTCTACCTCACCAGTAGCCATGCTCTTCCTCCACCCCCGCAGTAGCCGCCACCACTCTCTCCTCCGCATCCACATCAAATTCCTCTCCACAATTTCCTCACAGCATTTGCACCTCCCACTCTCCTTCCCAACCTACATGATATGGGGCTCCAACACTTCCCTCGGCAAAACCCTAATTTCCACCGGCCTCGCCTCTTCCTTCCTCCTCTCCCCCCGTACCACCAACAAAACCCCCAAATTCGTCTACCTCAAACCAATCCAAACCGGTTTCCCTTCCGATTCCGATTCTCATTTCGTCTTTTCTAAACTCTCCTCCCTCGCTTCACTCCGTTCCTCTTCTCTCTCTCTCTCTGCTTCCAATTCCGTCCTCAATTCCTCCCTTTCCGCTGCCAATTCCCTCTTTGGCGACGATTCTAAGACCAAGGGTCGGAACTTAGGGATTTATAATTTGAATTTCTCTGAGGAGAACAGGTTTGTGAAAGATGGGGTTAATGTGGTTTCGGAGTTGGTTTGTGAAACTTTGTATGCATGGAAGGAGGCTGTTTCGCCGCACTTGGCAGCAGAGAAGGAGAATGGAGTTGTGGAGGATTCTGTAGTGTTGGAGACTTTAGAGAAGTGTTTGAGAAAAGAAGAGGACATAAAGGTAGAGGAAATGGATGTTTTTTGCGTGGTTGAGACTGCTGGTGGCGTTGCGAGTCCAGGTCCGTCTGGGACCTTACAATGTGACTTGTACCGGTATGTGGTCATTCTCTCCTGCTAATGAATGTTAATTGTCAATTGCTGCTTGTAGGATTAACTGACATTTGATTTTTAAATTGGGAATCAGGTTTTTGTTCAACGTTTTACAATTGATGTCCTCGGTTCTTTGTTTGACTTCAAATGAAACTTATAATTGAAGGCTGGACATTCTTGATGTTATTTTCACATGTTGATCTTACTTACACAAAAGACTATTTGTGGGCTTTTAATCTTTTTTTCCAGTAAAGATCTAAGGTAACCTTGAAAGTTGGTTAGGTAGTAATGTAACTAAATGAGAAGTGGAGAGGGAGTAAGGTCTTGAATTCAAGTCCTAATCTTACCATCCAAAGAACAAAAAATAAATAAATAAAAAAGTACCCAGCAATAAGCTGGAAGTGAATATGAACATCTTGCTTGGTGATTGTGTCTGTTCTTTGCCTAGGAACCTGAATATACGTGATACTTATTCATTTGAGGTCTGTGCTTTTGCAAAAAAGTGACAAGAATTTAATCTTTTGGTATTTGATATGTGCATTTGGTGTCTCATAGAGAATAAATGGTATGATGGAAGGAATGAAAAGGGAGTAAGGTCTTGAATTCAAGTCCTACTCTTACCATCCAAATGAATTAACTAAATAAGAATTTATGTAATCAACCAATGATAGTTGGGACAAAAAGTTGGTTGAGTTGAATTTGTGCAGTCTTTATCTTACAGGATATGTGACAGAACAGAACAGGAATGAATTCCGAAGTCAACCAAACTAATTTGGGACTAAAACTTAGTTGAGTTGATTGCTTTCATTTTGTGTCTCACGGAGAACATGCATTAGATAGGACACAAGTAAAGGAAGAAAGCTTGTATTCATTTTCTTTTCATCTGTTGTTTGGAGCTTCATTTACATGGCAGAAATGAACTGGTTTTAGTGAGATTTGTGTTTTTTGTGGCAATGATTTTGGCATCAGTTTACACCTATGTTATCACTATGCTTGCCTGGATGCAGAATTGCATATCTCAGTTATCTTACAAAAGGACAGCCTTAAATATATTCCGAGTCCAACAGTCACTCAATGACATTAACATTGTTGACAGTGTTGCATGGATGGATATATTCCAAGTCCAACAGTCACTCAACGACATTAACATTGTTGATGGTGTTGCATGGATAGATAAAATATCATATTAATATTCTCCCTCTTTGTGATGTATGTTAGCAGGCCTTTTCGCTTACCTGGTGTTCTTATGGGAGATGGCAGGCTAGGTGGTATTTCTGGAACCATTTCAGCTTATGAGAGTTTAAAACTTCGAGGGTATGATATTGTTGCTGTTGTTTTGGAAGATCATGGCCTTGTTAATGAGGTGCCATTATTGTCATATTTGCGAAATAGGTAATTTAATCATTCTTCTTCTTCTGGCTCGAATAATTTTGAATCAATTATTTGACTGCAATCTTGTTATGCATTTGATTCCTACATAATTGGAATATCACTTGGTATATTTAAATTGATTTTTGTTCCCATTTCCTCTTGTATTTTTCTAGGGTTCCTGTAATTGTGCTTCCACCTGTGCCACAAGATATGTCAAATGACTTGGTGGAATGGTTTGGTGATTCTAATGAAGCATTTAATTCTCTAAAGGAAATAATGATATCAACTTTTTCAGAAAGAATTCTGAGACTGAATGACATGGCAAAAAAGGCAGTGCACACTTTGTGGTGGCCGTTTACTCAGCACAAACTGGTACCGGAAGAGGCTGTTACTGTTATTGATTCAAGATGTGGCGAGAACTTTGCTATCTACAAGGTTAGTGTTGCCAAAAAAGGTGTCACTCACTAATTTACTTGAAATTATATTATGGAATGCCCTTTTTTCTTCTTGATCCCCTGCCCCTAGAAAAAAAAAATATATATTTGCTTAGGGTTTCTGTTTTCTTCTTTTCTCTCATAGAAATAGTTGCAATTGGTTTTAACTAAGGCCTCGTTTGTTTGTCACAAAGTAGTTTTCTTTTAGAAAATAGTTTCCATGGAAAATAGATTCCTGGAAAGTGTATTATTTTTCAATTTTTGGAAAGTGTCATGGAAAATATGGTGGAAAACATCTTCCAGTGCTTGGTTATACCATGAAAAATAAGCTATAAAATCACTTAGTAATGCATTTTTTTTTTTAAAGTTTATCTAACATATATAGAATATTAAATGTCTTACAATAAAAGTTTAATCCTCTTACAATAAAAGAATAATATATAAAAAGTGTAATGGTGAAAAAAAAAAGAATTTATTATATTATGTATTTATATATAGTTTATTTTATAAAATGTATACATATAATATAAATACTTTAAATATAATATTATAGACATATAACCTCTTTAAATATTTTTTAAGTAAAATTTATTAACATGTTTAGTTATATAATGAAAAACGAGTCGGAAATCATTTTCTAGTATTTGGACATATCAAAGAAAACAAGTTGAAAAATAATGCATTTTGAGTTATTAAATTTTTTAAATAGTAGAATTTTTATTTTAATCAAATATTTCTTTGGTGTTTAGAGAACATTGAAAATAAATTTCTTTTCTATGGTATTCTAATTTTATAACACAATTTATATGATTTAAAATGTATGATTATTGTATAGTATAACATGTTTTATATTTGAATGTATTTTCAAGCAATATTATTTACATTAAAGTATTATATGCGCTAATACATCAAATTATATATTAATATATCTTAATATCTTATTTCCGATATAAATATATTAGTAATTTTTTTAATAATATTATATTTTAAAGTATTTTATTAAAATATTTTTGTTCACACAAATGTGCACACACAAACACACACACACACACAAGAAAACACTTTCTAGCTAACAAACAAGTCGTAAGTGAATAAATTTCTATGTGCTAACAAATAATGCAATTGTTTGCTATATACAAATGTTCTCACCTTTCTTGTTAGAATTATTTTCTGATGTAAAATAGCCATTTCTCTATGCTTCTAAAGTTCATAGAATTTTCAGGTCCAAGGCAATCAGTTTATTACTCAACAATTTGATGGATGCGCTAGTTGGTGGACCCAAGGACCTGATGCTACTCTGCAGGTCAATTTTATGGCAAATAACTGCTTTTCTATTCTTGTTACACATTCCTATCTAATCATGTTGTAATTTCTGATCTTTTCAGTATTGCATGCTTCATTAGAAAATGTCAATTATTTTAAGGGTTAGAAATGCTATTTCAAAAGAAAAAACAAGAATAAGTTACAAGAATATCATGAGCCACTTGATTATAGGATCAATCAATGAGTTCCAAATTATTCTTATGATCCACTGGCATACAATTCTCTTGTAATCTGTTCTTGTGTGTTTTTGGGGAACTAGCCTTTCTCATAGGGTCGTTTGACAGCCAGAATCTACATTTAGAAACTGCTTTTGAATCTTTGCTTCTGACTTTTCTTTTCTATTCTAAATACCAATTTTCTTCTACTTGCATGTTAATTGCTTGTTCAAAAGATGCATTTTTTCTTTTTGCATATTGATTTAGTTAGTTCAATTGATGCTCATGCACCTGCGTGGCATCGGGATAGAATTTTGTATTCTTAATGGTAAGCTTGTTTGCTGTGGGTGTGCAGTGCCATCTAATATGCACTCAAAACTATTAGCAAATTTAGCTGTTAGTAACAATACAGATTACAAGCTAATTACTTCTTAAACAAAAATTAACATTACAAATGAAACTATTTTATGTACAAGCAAGTAAGAAGAAATTCTGTTAAATTTGAATCTCCTTAGCTGAAGGGGTATTGTTGCTGGAGTAATAGAGAATGGAACTGGAGAGTTTGTTTTCATTTGCAGCTATATCAGCCTTTTAAAATATTTAAGAAGTGAAGTTATTGGTGCATTTAGATTTGGCTATTCTGGAAATGATTTTGTAGGTTCATAGTTATATGCATATTATTTCTACCATTTGAATTATTGTTGTTCTTTTCCTTTCTGTTGCTGGAAGTCAATGCTTTCTGCAAAGTGTAGAAAAATCTATGTTAATGAATGTAGTGGAAGTTCCTTCCTTGAGGATTTCTGAAAGTCTTTCTGTACACAGGATTCTTTTAACTGTTTCTCTGGATTATTGGGAACTTTTTTTTCTGGATCTGACCCTCCCCTCATTTGCCAATTAATGGATGATGAGTTTATTAGGAACAACCTGAGGAACACACAACAGGATTATTAAAATGTGTGGTATCTACAGACTTGTGTTAGGGTTGCATTTTTCCTTAATTATTGAGTTCCCTGCTTTTAAATAAGCTATCCTGTTCAGAAGGTCCTCTTTCCAATCAAACGACGGGTTGCACTGTATAACTGTAACATGAAAAGTTAAACCATAACTAAACAAGTATTAATAGCCCAGAAGCATGTCTTATGACAGGTTTCTCTTCTTGGGCAAAATCCACTCGTATAAATTTCATATGTCACAAAGTACCATGGGACCTGCTGCTCTGTCAGTGTAGGTTATGGTGAGCCATGCTCACCTAGTAATTTCACAAACGCTAGAGATTTTACCATATGCCTCCCAAACTATCTTCTCTCATTAATGTTCACTTTTCTGCACCATTTGGTCACTTTTCTGAAATTCTTTAATGTGGTTACTTGTTTAGGTGGTTTCAGACTGAGCTTGCTAGAGAGATGGGTTATACTGCTGCAAGATATGGTCATGTAATGTTTCCAGAGAATGTTTACGAGCCGGTGTTGGAATGTGCACAGCTTTTGCTTGAGGGTGTGGGTAAAGGTTAGTATTTTTCTTCTGCCATTTGATGTTTTTTCAAGCATTTTAACTGGCATAATGTAATTAATTTTTTCATGTCGAATAACACTTGCTTAATTAACAATGAACATAACATTTCTTATGTGCCTGGTGTTTCAGATGTGACAAGTGTTCTTTTTTTTTTTAAATCATCTATGGGGTAAAGTTATAACTTTTAAAATGCATTAAAGTTATCCATTTTGAACTTCTTCAAAACTATCTTCTTCCCAACTTATCATGTTTGTTTGTACTTTTGCAGGGTGGGCTTCAAGGACATACTATTCAGATAATGGATCAACGGCAATTGAAATTGCTCTCAAAATGGCATTTCGCAAATTTTCATTTGATAATGGACTCCTTTTAGATTTTGCCAACAGTAACAGAACTGACAAATCTGTCCAACTAAAGGTGAACTTAAATAATCCTTATATCTTTCAGCATAACATTTCGGACATTGTTTCTTAAAAAATGCAAGAAATTCTGGTTTCAGAAAAAAATGGTTATTTCTGAGGTTACTGATTTTCTTTCCCAAGTAGGTTAATTTTTTTTTCTTCCTGATTATTAGTTGCTAGTGGGGATGTTTTAAACAGTGGTCATACTTGCACCTCAATTTACCTTGAATCCAGCAGTTGTAGAGTGAGTCCTTTAAGTATATTTTTGTCAAAAATGAAAACAGTCTAGGTAGATAGTTGTTGAGCAAGTGACATTGAAATCTGACCATTGTCCATGCTGGGTGCTTTACAAGTTTAAACTTAGTTCTCCAAATTTACTGGTTATAAGACAGTTTTTTATTTTAAAATGTAGCTTAACACTAGGGCACGTTTTATATATAGATAATTCCAGGGTGACAATCACGCCATGTTAGATTGTTCTGTGGTCTCCTTAATATGACTTCTTTTATTAACACATGCACGATTTTGGAATATGGTTAAAGCTTAGTAATTGAAACATGCATGTTTGTGCATTGAATGCTGTTTTTTTTTTTTAATTTTTTTTTCGATATCTATTGTATGTGGTAAGTAAAACATTATTGATTTCAAAAGTAAAACTCATGTACCATTGGTCTGTCTTGACACTGCCTTTGATAAGATTGGCTGAATTGTCTTTGTATCGCCTATGTGTCGTTCTACACGATAATTATTACAAATCTAAAGCATGAACCATTATGTACCTTTTTCATTCAGGAAGAGGTTTCTTCCAAACAGTTGCTGGTAACTTAGGTGTGGTTTTATTTCAGGTATTGGCTCTCAAAGGATCTTATCATGGTGACACTTTGGGTGCGATGGAAGCTCAAGCACCGTCATCTTATACAGGCTTCCTCCAACAGCCATGGTAGGGAATATTTTGGTGCTAGAAGCACAATTTTATGATGAATAAAACTATTTTAATTAAGAAGTTTCAATTTTTTGGGGCCATGCTTTACTAATTAGTGCTCTTGCACAAGGAAATCTCATTGATGCTGAAACCAATCATTTAGGATTGAAAAATTATAGGGTGATGAGCAAAATGGAAGTAATTATCTCAAAATGAGGCTTAGTTGTGAGAATTCATGCGCAATGAAATAGCTTCTATGCATGAGTTCCATATCATTGTTTTAAAAAACATAGCTCTTAAATCACTATATCATTCTGAGACTTTTGGATTGCTCTGATGTATATCCTAGTTGGTTTTCTCCATTGCTTCATAGAAATTAGTAAGACAAAACAAGGGAATTGAGTTGGGTTGGAATCCTCTTGGTAAGGATAGTGCTTGCATATTATGCAACATGTAATATAAATGATAACTTCAGTCACAGAAATGGAAATTATTCAAGAATGCTTTGACTCAAGTGGGCAGAACACGAGTGCCCCTGGCAAAGCTTGAGTTGGTTCATGTCAATGAGTGATGGTTTTTCAGCTGTTGTCAATGTGGAAAAGAGTGACTGATCACTTTGCGAGGGCCTGTTGATTAGATTAACTGAAATGTGAAGTGGATTGTAAGCATAACTAATTGGGAGGTAAATGTTGAGATTGTGTGCTGACAGCTTGGTGCTTTGGGTCAACAGTGGTTTCAGCAACCTGGTTTGGTTGTTGCTCTGCATTGAACTCTGAGAATCATCAATGTAGGAAGATAGTAATTCAGAGTAGATAGCCCAGATCATGTGGTGGTGGGTGATGACATTGATACTTTGAAGTGACTGTAATATTGATGCCTATATAGTGGTTATTGTTTTTTCTTTTGGCTTTTTAAGTCAAGAAGGGGATCTGATGATGTCGATTCAAGGAATTTTTGTAATTGTATGGATAGGTCTCTACTATCCCAAGTGAAAATAACTTAGCATTTTGTTGTTTCTTTAAGTTCTAGTTGGATCTAGAACTTGCATTATTTTATACTTGACTATTAGATGCGAATGTTGTGTGGAACAAGAAGAAATTCAGTTTTTGGAAATGTAATGTTTATGCTAGGAAAACCTGTTTATGAACCATGAAATAGGGAGTTGGAACAAATAAACAAAGTTCCTATTGAAAATTTGGCTAGCGGTTCCAAATTCCTTGCTTTAGGCTCAGTGCCTTGTAGATCCTTCTATAATTATTTTGGTCTCAAAATTGTACGTGGTTCTATAGGAATCAGGCATCAAATTCACCTCAATGTGCTCTTTTATTTTTTTACATTGACTTTATGTACTCAAGAAAAAAAAAGACGGTTAATTATCAGTGAATTAATTTATCTTTTACTTACCTCACGCATGTTCACAGGTACACAGGAAGAGGGCTTTTTCTAGACCCTCCTACAGTGTCTATGTCCAATAATAAATGGAATCTTTCTTTACCTGAGGGAATGCATTGTGAAAATATGATTAAGAAAGACACGAGTAAGTAAACTTTTGAAATGCACTTTTTAAATTTTTATGTTGGCTGCTGTTATTTTCTATTGCTTCCTGATGTGCACTGACATTTACAGACTTCAGCACTCGTGATGAAATATTTGACAAGAGCAGGGACAAATCAGATCTCACAGGAGTTTATTCCTCATATATATCGCAGAAATTATTACAATACCTTGGATTAAAAGAATCTATCCATGTTGGAGCATTGATTATCGAACCAGGCAAGAGAATTATTATTACAATACCCTGGGTTAAAAGAATCTGTCCCGTTGTGGCCAATTTTATTTTCTTGATTTTTTTTTTGTTAACTTCATCTTTGAGGTCTCTTGCTTCAGAAGTCAATTGATGATTTCTTGATATCTTATTTCATTTCTTATTGTTGGAAAGGATGTGTGGCATCGTAAAAGAATTTACCTTGAGTTTCAGCAGCTCTAGTAATTTCCTGTACTAGTGGATGTTGTCTGGATAAGACAACCCTTCATCAGCATAGTTAACCTGAATTATGTGAATCATCCAAGAGTCTTCGAATGATATCTGTATTGTGCAAGTCCTTCAAAAGATTTATGGTTTGTATGAAAACATTTTGGAAACTTAGATCCTTCAGAATACTTTATTCCCATGGCCTTGTCAATTTTTAAGTGGCCTTTGATTTTAGGCAAACAGTGTTTCCAAATTTTCTTTTATGTTGACTCCCCAGCATTTCATTCAGTTGGTTTGGAACTTAATATCCAAGACTTGAATGCATGCGCTCACACTCTCGCTAGTCATTTGAGTCTTGTGTTTACCTTGCAACAAATCTCTATATTATCGAAACTCCTAATTAATAGGAATTGTGAATGCCTGGTCTTTCCTGTGGTCTGTGCACGAGTGCAATTTTTATGGAAAGAGTTCTGGGTTTGATTGAAATTATGAATTTCAATATGGTTTTAAATGGTCTTTGCCTAATTGGCTTGAGACTATTTTGCAGTTATCCAAGGTGCTGGTGGAATGCTTATGATTGATCCACTTTTCCAAAGGGTGCTTGTAAGTGAGTGCCGAAGTAGAAATATTCCAGTTATATTTGATGAAGTTTTCACAGGTTTCTGGCGTCTTGGAACAGAGGTTGGTATCCCTTGCATCTCATTCTCATTTGTTCTTCTCTTGTTCTTTCTGCTTTCCATGTTGCTTTCATCCAATATAATAGAAGTGTTGAATTACATACATTTCATCTACTTTCTTGAAAGTGTCCTTATTGCCCCCCCTCTTTCAGTCTGCAGCAGAACTACTTGGTTGTCTACCTGATATATCCTGCTTTGCAAAGCTGATGACTGGCGGGGTTATACCCTTGGCTGCAACATTGGCCTCAGATGCAGTTTTTGATTCTTTTCTTGGAGAATCAAAGGTGATGTATAGCTGTGGGTTTGTTTGATTCTTAGGACACCTATGCTTTCTTTTGAAGTTGACCAAGTGAATTTTTGAGATTATTATAGTGGTTTTTCATTTCGCTCACTATTGTTATTCGTCATTGCACTAACTCACAATACAGACGAGGATCAGAGGCTACATGGGGAAGTGGCTTCTTTGATTCAACTTTCTCATTCCTACTCGATTATTTCCTTGATATCATAGATGAAATCTTAGTTGATGCTTCCTTCAATTTTTGCCGAAGTAGAACCATATTACCATTTTATTTTTTCACTTTCTGTGGCTCAAACTTTTGAACTAGCATAATGAGTTTAGGTTCTGAAGATTTGTTCTTGGAATAACATGCTAGTTAATTCAATCTGAAATTTAAGCAGTCTGAGTTTATTGCATTTTGAGTTACAAGGTTTTTCATGTGGTTGTGAAAGTAAAATTTGCGATCAAGAATTTTTGATATTTTCTTCCACAACCAACTTTCAAATTCGAATATTCATTTCTCTCTGTATCCTTCATTTATTTATGGATGCGTTTCCTAAAGAATTCTGTACTGTGTGATCTAGAGTCTAGACTGTATAAAGAAACTGCTTACATTTATTTGTTTCTGGCTGTAGCTCAAAGCCCTTTTGCACGGACACTCATACTCTGCTCATGCTATGGGGTGCTCAGCAGCTGCTAAATCAATTAAATGGTTTAAGGATCCTCAAACAAACCATAATATTATTTCTGGGCGAAGATTGCTTAGGGAGGTGTGTATAATTCATTTTTTTGTTTCCTCATTGCATATCAGTTTCCAGAAGTTGATGTCTGACAGTTTCCACAATCTGGAATATATATGACAGCATGCCTTGGTTGTGATACTGGCATGGTTGCCATTCCTAAACCAAAACCTTAGGCAGGAAGCATTCCATGCTGTCATTTCAAACTCAAAATGTGAATTGAAATTTCAGAATCTGATCTGGTTCAAAATGTCGGCAATTATTCAAACCTTCAAGATCTGACATGTAGAATTTTAATGTTATACTATCTCAACAATTGTGGTATTGGGAGAAAAAAAATATTTGACATACTTCTAGTACAGTCTTATAGGACTTCCCTCCTCAGCACCATAGTCATTTTCAAATGCTTTACATTACCATTGAAATATTAGCTGGACTTTCTTTGTCCTTTGATTAGTTGGGCACAGTAATCTGCATTTTTTCCCTTTCAGTTTTCATATTGATACACCAGAAACAGGTTATGTTTCAATCTGTTCAAAACTAATTTTTCCCAATGATGAAATAATGGTGATCTCCATGCCATCTATGAATTTCATCCAATATTTTGCATTTAATGCTTGCAGTTATGGAATGCGGAACTGGTGCAACAGATCTCATCACATCCTTCGGTTGAAAGAGTGATAGCATTAGGAACTCTTTTTGCTCTAGAACTAAGAGCAGAAGGGCATAATGTTGGGTATGGTCACATTCAATTACTTCTGTGCCACTTTTTGGACATGAATGACTTTCACAGTTATCCAGCAGCTGTGATTCAGGGTGTTAAAATGTATATATTTGTTCAGCTTGTATTGAGATTGGGTCTCAATGTTTCCAACTAGTGGAAGCATGAAACTTCGTTATAACAATTTTATCCTCCAAAAAATGATTCCTACATGGAAATTCAACCATTTAATGCTCCAAGTAAATGGTGATTATTGCATGATATTTCAACCACTCCATGTAGTCCATGTTTGATGCCATGATCTTCCTTCTTGTCCAAGACCATTGTGTCTGGGTTCACGCTTAAATGAATTAGCAATACCTCTGAGAATACTTGGCGGTTCTGACACTTGGCCTTAACCAAGTAGGGTTGCCCGACACTTGGGCTTTACAATTGTGTTAAGCCATGGCCGCATTTGTTTAGCAGGTAGCATGAATATCATCTTTAGTTGCATCGGTAGTGTTTGAAGTCATAAGGTGTCGTGCATTGTAGTTCATGATTATCCTTTGTTTTTATTAGTTTCAGTCCTACTGGATATCTTCCATGCTGAACACTATTTAATTATCTTGTATGGTTATGTGCCAAGGTATGCAGCTTTTTTTCTTTCTGAATCTATTTCCATATCCCCTTGTAGTGACTTCATCAGAATCATCAAAATCATGTTACTTTTTTCTTTCTTGGCTGAAACTTGATGATTCTCTGATAGCCAGTGAATTTTTTTAGGTATGCATCCCTCTATGCCCGCTCTCTTCTTCAGAAGCTCCGTGAAGATGGTGTTTACATGAGGCCTTTGGGTAATGTCATATATGTCATGTGTGGGCCATGCACATCTCCTGAGATCTGCACAAGCCTACTCATTAAACTTTACACGAGACTTGAAGAGTTCACCCAGGTACAGCAGGGTTCCTGCTAATTATGAAAGTCTAGCTAATGTTTTTTCTTTTAAAAAATAGTGAACGAGGATTCAATATAAATAATGATTGTGATACTAATTTAATAATTTTCTCTTGTCAACTGAGATGGCACCTTATGCTAGGTGTTGTATTAATAAGGGAAAGTGTTTTCTTCATAGGAATTAATGACAAGTATTATTAAATCTTAAATTTACAGCTTTATTGATTTAAGAAAGAAACAAACAAAAGTTTCCTATCACATTAGGCTGTGTAGAGCTGAAAGCCAATGTTCCCGGGGTCTTGTGGTTTGGTGTTTAATTCCAAGCCCTAGCAACCAGGATTCAAACCTTGTTTTTTAAAGGATTAATCTTGTCTTGGAAAACTTAGCCCGTGTTGTCTCGAAACGATATTTAAAAAAAGAAGAATTAGCCCGTGTTGTCTCGAAACGATATTTTTTTAAAAAAAAAATCAGTCAATTTTAACTAATGATAGCAAAATTATTCGTCTCCACCAGTATTTTCAAGAACTTGATATAGAGATAAGTATCGAGTATTTCTCCATAAAAAAAAAGGGAATGGAGGTGAGGAATGAATAGCCTGAACCTGATTGGTGTGTGTGTGTATATATTGTTTTCAATCTTTACATCCTGAGTAAAACAATTGCTTTTTTCAAATAAATTTATTGTTAGATTATATTTTAATTACAATTAATCATTTTTTAATTAAATATTAATTATCAAATATTAATGGTGTGTATTTGTATATATATATATAAATTCTATAGGACCCGTCCATTCGATTGCAGTCTTACGGTGGTATATATATATATATATATAAAATTCTACAGGGCCCGTCCATTCCATTGCAGTCTTACTGTAGAAATGACTATTTTGCCTATTTACTAAAAAAATTAGCCTTGGTTTGGGGGGTGAGATTGTTTTTTTATAGGCACATGTCATTGTTGGTTTTTGTCAGTTGATTATACTTTTCAAACAAAAAATAAATGGTGCAAATACTATAATATCCTTAAAAAAAGAGTAAAAAATAGTTTGTAATCAAGGGTTTATTTGATTATTTTGTATTTTGTTGCATAATGTAATTATTGCCAAACCTTGGCAAAAATTCTTTAGGATGTCATGGAAGGTATTTTTTTCCCCTACAAATTCATTTTTAACATACAATATAATAACTTCTGTGCTTCCCATGTCTGAAATTTTATAAGTTGTTATCTAAGGGATTTTTGAACTTTTTATCCTGTTTTTTGCATTAAAAACAATATGACTGAGAGTTAGTTTATTCTTTTTAAAGTATAATTTTATTTTTTTAAATGTAAGATGTCTGGAGAGAATGTGCTTGTGCATAGGGTAGAGATATCACATTCAAGTGGTGCATGACACGTGATATAGTGGCCAAAAACACCATACCATCGTGTCACCAGCTTCGGTGAGCAGCGATGCTTCCATTAAGCTGACACTGTAAGGTGGTTTTCAATTGTTTGGCGACAATTAAGTTTTTTCTTTCCCTTCTCTTATCTCTAATGGCCTTGATATGCGCACTGGCCCAGCGAAAAAAATAAATTTTTCCTGCCATTTTATTTTCATTTTAGTTATAGTCATCGTTTCTTCTGATTAATCTTTGATTATTTATGATCTTTTTTTTTTATTAATTTTTTTTTAATTTCATCTTAAGTTTTGTTTGATTTTTATATTAGATTTGACTTTTATTCTATTTTTATTTTTTTAATTTCAACCTTTAAAATTTAAATTAATTCAGTTTTTATAACAAATAATATTTTTATTTTTAATTAATATTTTATTTTCTTTTCAGCTCCATCTCCTGAAATTTTATTTAGTTTGATTTTTATATTAGATCTATATCATTATTTTTATTTTTATTTTTATATCTCTTTCCTAATTGATTTTAGGTTTGCAATTTTATTCCTCGTTATCTTATCTTTTAAAAAATTAGGTTTAATGATTTTTTTTATTTTTTTATTATAAAATTATTTCAATCTCATGACTTGTTATTGAGTTGACGAGTTTATCTAGGTGGGCTTAAGTTTTTTTTGGCTTATAATTACTATTTATCTAATCCCTTCCATCCATCTCATAATTCAACATTCAACATTAATGTTTTTATTAAAAAATTGATTTTATTATTTTTTTCATTTTACTTTTTATATTGTCATTTCGGTTTCATAACTTGACTTATAGATTAGGCGGGTTGGCTAGAGTAGCCTCTAATTTTTGTAAAAAAATTTATAATTGTTTTTTTTTCTTTATATAATTGAATTTTTTTTTTATTTGGTTGGTTGAAAATTGTGTTTCAAGGTTTTTTTAAATTTATTATTTTAGTCAAATAACTTAAGTCATGGGATTAATATTAATAAGTTAATCTAAATTTACATTAATTTTTTTAATTTAAAAATATGTTTTTGTCGGCTGAATATCACATTTTTCTTGAAAAGTTTTTTCTATCCAACTTGTGGTACGCTACAAGTTGCATGGCGTGTGTATCGATTGATGGGGAAACTCCACCCGAACCGATCAATGGGAGAGATATAACTCACTTCAAACCCGCATCGTAGCCATGCTTTATTTTAACTCATTCCTGGGGTTTAGTTACACATTATGAGGACCTGGAGATTTGCTGCCAACCAACAATTGTAACATAACTTCATCTTTTTTTTTTCAAACACAACTATCATTCTTCAAAGAAATGAAAAGAACATGGATTCCCCTTAAATTATGCTGGTCTGGGCTTTGAAAGTATAGCTATTAGATTGGGCTCGAAATCTGATTCCATTTGGAGCTTATATCATGAACTTATCAAGTTAAATTGTGGATCAACATGTCAATTTACATTTATCCTAACATTATGCTATTTTAATTTACCAAAAAAAAACTCAAATGATGTTTTTGATAAATGCTTTTATTAAAAAAATTAATATCATTTAGGATAATACCTTTTTAAATTCTTTGAGTTAATATAACTGCGTTTTATTAGTTGAATTTAATAAATTATTTATTGATTTATCATTTCATCTAGTTTAATTGAGTCAATTTTTAAAATGATTTGAAAATAAAATCTAACTTAGATTATATTTTATGTCAATATTACAAAGTTAACCTGTTTAATAAAATATTTTTAATAATTATGATTGAAAGGAAAAATATAAATTATAATTTAATTTAAATCTGAAAAAAATCAACCCAAATCAACCTGAATAAATGAATACTTGAATAAGTAAGTTTTTGTTTTTTTTTTATATAATTAGCCTCACTCGTGAGTAATTATGTGTGTGTATTTTATAAAACCCAACCCAAAACCCAATTTAATTCAAGATATATAATTATATTAAATAGATATATAAGTTTATATATATATATTTGAATTCAATATAATATATAAATATCTCAAAAGTTATATAATATGCGCATATATAGTATTGTTTTATTATTTTGTTTAATAGTAAATAATATTGTTACAATAGATATCCTATATTTAAAATATAATGCATAGAATATAAATATTTAAATTTATTATCTTATAAATAAAGAATAGAATATAAATATAAAAAAACACAACTGGTGGGTATCATTGTCATCTCTACATGGAAGCAGTGTGTAATTAAGCAGTCCTGTTAGCTAAGGAAAATACGGTTTCTTTATCCTTATCCAACTACGGTTACTTGACCAAGCCAGTGCCTCTATAAATACAAAACCCCTTGCTGTATTTTGTTACTATTTGCCAAAAAATTTGAAAAACGTGAAACCTGCAGCACAGAGCAATAGATTGACGGAAACCCTATATTATTCGGAAAGGAAGAAGAAGAAACATCAAGAAAAGCAAAATCGCAAGAAATACAGTGCAAATGTTCTTGATCACTTAACGTACCGGAGACACAATTTGCATCGATTGTGGTTTGGTTCTTAAATGTTACAATGTCGATGAAGAACCCGAAAGGAGAACTTTTGGCTTTGAAGATAATATTAATGAATACGACCCCAACCATTTAGGTTCTCTCTCTGACACTCTTTTAACCCATGCCAATCTAGCCACCACAATTTCCAAGCCTGCCAAGGATGATAGTACTACTGGTGTTGCAATTTCCAAGAACTGGTTGGATCAATCGTCAATCAAACCCAGATGGGGATTTAAATATCCAGGGGTTTGAAATCATTGAAACAATGGCAAGAAGGTTATGTCTTGCGCCGTTCATCATGAATCGGGCTAGAGAGATATACATGAACGTACAAGAACAAAAGTCTTGATCTCGAAGGAACCGGGAAGCAATGCCAGCGGCTTGTTCATTCATCTCTTGTAAGGAGAATAAGTTGTCAAGAACATAGAAGGAAACATGTAGTGCTGCATCTTGTAATGGAGGAGGAGGAGGAAGATTAACAATGAAAGAGGCATGCACAATTGGAGGATATGACCGTAGGGACCATGAATCATAGTGTGAGGCGGTTATGTTCCTATCATGGCATGGAAAACCATGCCATGAAAGCAGTGCATGAAGCTCTTGCAAAACTTCAAGGGATTGATATAAGGAGGAACCCCAAGTCTGTGCTGGCTGCTATTATTTACAGTACCACTCAACTTCCAGACGAGAAGAAACCTCTTGAAGGTCTGATTCTTCTCCTTTTTTTTTTTTTTCTGGTAAACTTCTTAGAATACAATTATTTTTGGATTTTCTTTTCTTTTATGTTAGTTGCTAGTTTGATTCCAAACAAAATGTAGAGGATCAATCAATTTCATCGTCTTGTTAGAAATACTTGTCATAGTATAGGAGTTAAATTATATTTCTTCTATTTTTCTCTCTCTTGGCATTCATCCTTTCTCTAAATTGTCACAGATTTGTAAAGTATCTTCAATATACACATACACCTTCGTTATTATAAAATGAAGATATTCTAATAAACTTTTTGTGTTTATTTGTGAATAAAGTACAATCAATTTAAAAACTTAGCAACTCATCATGCTTTTCTTTTATTACATGAGTTGAAATATTATTAGAAGTACAATCATTATAGTATTAATGAAGTTTAGGATCGCAATCAAAAGTACAACTGCAAGTACCAGAAACAACACAATGTCCCCTGGATCCTCCTTTTTTAGGATCTCCAACATATTTTTTCTCACACAACTCATTGCATTTTTGTCCTGTGCAATCGGCCATTGGTTCTCCCCTCACGCAAAGACGTGCTG